CCTTTACGCGTTGGCGACGGCGAGTACCGCAGACGATGGAACGATGAGCTGTATGAGCTTTACAACGATATGGACATAGTGCAGCGAATTAAAATACAGCGGCTCCGCTGGCTTGGTCATGTCGTTCGAACGGACACCGACGCTCCAGCTCTGAAAGTATTCAACTCGGAACCCGCTGGTGGTAGCAGAGGAAGAGGGAGGCCCCCACTGCGATGGAAAGATCAGGTTGAGAAGGACTTGGCTTCACTTGGCGTTTCCAATTGGCGTCAGTTGGCACAGAGGAGAAACGACTGGCGTGCTTTACTGAACTCGGCCAAAATCTCTAAATAAAATAAAACTACTAAGTATCTTATTTTATCTATCGGTTTCCAAATATTTCCTTTTTTGATTTTCTCTTATCAAAAGAGTTTTAATATGTACTATTTTTTTTTTATGTACAAAAACAAAACCTTATCTAAATTTGTAGTTTTAGCAACGGGCTTTTTAGTGCTTATTCGTGCTTTTATGAAATTTTACTGAACGCCCATGCACGCACGAGCTCGTGCTGACAGCATATATTCCGGCCCGTATCCGCAGGCTTACGCAGGGGCCCGGCCCGTGCCCATCCCTAGTCGGTACCATAATCCATCAAATCCGTTTTATTATTCCCTTCCATGCATTCAATGTGCTTTGATATTTTGACGCAAATGAACGCAAATTTTCAACATATCGTTAATACAGTATATTTTGCTTTGTCAATTTGTCATTTTGTTTGTCAGATATACGTTTTATCAGTGTTCTTGCACAATATTCGCATTCGCAAAAGCTCCGCATTGATTAATGCGAAAGCGAATGCTAATGTTAAAATTAATGCGGAAGCTCCTTGGTTGCGAATGCGAATGCGAGATTCGCAACAACCCTACTACGAACCGGCCAAATACCATATGTGTGTCTTGAAATAACAGCTGAGTACTATGTGAGCATGGGATTTATCCACGGTGGAGAGAATACAGAAGGTGGCGCCGATGGCAATACCGCTAATCGGCTCTCAGTGAATTTGACAGAATCAGCTGTTTTGCTGACGTCACAGTCGAGATGACAGCAGTAGTGATGTGCTGAGTCAATACTTTTAAGTATCCAATACTCTCGATACTCAGGGGAGATTCGCCTATCAAAACCCGAATGTAGAAGCCCCAATAGAGCTTTTAATACTGATTCAAATGAAAGATGTATATATGTCGGTTCGAGGCCATAATACAGAGAAACTCTTACTTGTTTGAAGCATTTTTGTTCCAGCTGAATCGGAAGATATCATTTTTGTAGGCAGATTCTGTAACCAATTAGCGACAATTTTCGAATCGGTATCGGTTTTGTTGACGTATGTATGATATGAAATATTTTTACGTCAACAAGTGCGATATCGATCCGAAACTTGTCGCTAACTGGTTACAGAATTAAGGAGGAGGTTATCAGTTCGTCGGAATATTTTTTTAATTTTATGTATGTTACCGCATAACTTTGGACCACGTCAACCGATTTCGATAATTCTTTTTGCATCGGAAAGGTAATGTCTCAGAGGTGGTCCCATACAAATCCGGTTTAGATCCGATCATTGGATCATGAGATATATATATATATATATATATTTTTTTTTATATGAGAATTGAAGTCGTTTTTTTTTTGCTAAAAATGACTTGTTATATTTATTTTGGTGCCTTTGTTAAAAGCTGTATAAAAATTTTTTGAAATACCAGGAATGAAATATGTACTACAATATGTGTGTCATTTCACCTAGTTAACAGAATACTGTAATAAGTTTATGATGATATTCTGCCTTATCCTGAGTTTCGCCTGGAAAAAAAAAAATTCACCCGAAAATTTGTCATCCGCCCATAGTAAAACCATGGAAACCTAAAGTGAAAAGTGAACCGGTTCGGGGAAAATGGAAGTCATGATAAGGCCGATTGTTACTAGGAGCGTGTGTGAATCGGTAACAAAGTTCGCGGCGAGTGAATTTTTTACAACTATGAGGTGAATCAAATTTCACTAGCTCATGAGGCTAGTGAAATTTTTGACAAATGCGTAGAAAATTTTGACAATCGCATAGATTGTTGATGTGTGTAATTTTTCGTTAAAAAAAAAAGTTTAAATTGATGAATTGCAATCAACGATGGTAGATGTTTTCTTAAAATATTAATTTCACTTCCATTTTTGTAATATTTTATATTCCACGTAAATCTGCGGTTATCAAAAATTTACTGCTGTCAAAAAATATCTCATTCCACCCAGCAGATTGGCAAAACTGTCTCAGCATAGTAAAAATATTATTCAGCGCTTTCCCCATAGAACAGAGCTGCTCACTTCATAAGCACTTGTAGCACATTTGTTTTTGTTTTGCCCTGAAGTATAGGCACATATACAAATTAAAACTTTAAATATAAAAAAAAAAA